TTAAAGAGCATCACGTTCGTTTGAGAAAGTATTCTTTTGACACCGTGGGATTTCCTTTTTTAGAAATTCATTATTCCATGCATCCTGGGGGTTGAGGTGTCATGAGTTTTCGTGTATTTCACGTGATCTGAATCAAAGGAACCGTTTGATCATGTTAAGATCATGTCTGATATTGATCGCTAGGTTTGCCAAACTCTGGATCTTTGTATCTTGTGTATGTTTCTCACCTCTTTTATGTTGTGTGCGATGAGCGTGATGGCGTGTGAATGTTTCACAGTGTTTGGACCATTGAAACCTGATTCGAATCATGCGTGATTGATGCATATGCGATGTAACCTAATGGAACGGATGAGGCTAACTCCGTGAATGCTGAACCAATCGGGATGAGCGAATCACCGTTAGGAAGCTTGGAAGCTCAGCCTTCTTTCCATATATGGTTATCATAATGAGAATATTCGTTCTTGCCGAGATGTGTGATGAGATGGGCGTTCTGTCGTGATCAAGATTTTGATGATCAATGGTGGTTACACCTATTGTCTGCAAATGTATTATAAGGAGGGATGGGTTTGAATCTCTTCTGGACAATTTAATTCCTTCAAGAATATTCATTCAAATTCAAGACAAATCAAGATATTCAACAAATATTATTTCATCGTGATCTTGGTTCTTATTGATCTCATGATTATCGATTCATCAGCCATATTAAAGAAATCATCGGATAAAGACAATTCACCATCCTTCTTGAGATCGATTCTGAAATCCAAAGAATTCTTTTGGATATTAGCCATAATAGGATATCTGATTATACATGCGTTTACTTTATTTCTGTATTGATGTTATCTGATAAATCGTTATCCTGAACATTTCATTCATTAAATCCGACGTTAAGCTCAATCCTAATCGAGTGGTCAGTGTCCTGATGTAAACATGATTAAAAAGACGTGCGGGTCAAAAGATTTGCAAATTATGTCTTCTGAACCTGAACGGCGATTTGCGGATGGGTGGGACATCGAAGAAGATGAAAGGTTCGAGAAAAGACATAGAGATGGTGAGCTGGAAGAGAATGATGGTTGAATTTAATGTTGCGATGGATATTTTGACTATAGATAGGATGCACTCAGTTATAAATATTGTATCATGTTATCAAAAGTTTGCCAAACTCATATTATCCTTTACAATATTTTACCAAACATAAAAGATAATAACAAAAACGTATAAACATAACTTTAACATTCAAGTTATGTGATATCTCTTGAGCTCCATCTCCCTCCTTTCAAGTTCTCCCACCAATGTATCCTCAAAATCTTGTAACTCCTTCTGCAATGCTTGCAACATCATTTGCATAACTCCCAAATCATATTCATACTCATGAAGCTCTCGTAATCCAACATGTGCTTTTATCTCCAATTTATGAGATAATCTCTGATACCTTCTTCTCAATCTTTGTAACATCCTCCGATGTCTCATCTGATATCTCAATTGGCGATCGTTTTGTCTATTGGGATCCTTCACACGACACAATGGGTAGGTATGATTCTCCTTAAACTATTTGGAGATACATTTGCCACACATCGATTGACAATTGCAAAGGGGCATCACAGATGCAGGGTTCGTATCACTTATTTCTTCATAACAAATTATACACTCTTCTATATTTGATGAAACTGATAGATCAAATGTTTATTTATAAAAAAAAACAATACGTAATAATTCTTGGATAGCCTTATATGGTTATCAAATCAACAAAGTTTGGCAAACTAAATTCTCACGTCAACATAAAAGTAATCAGGTTGAATTTCAAGCATATGGAATGAATGTGTGTACAATCAGTTTGCCATATCAAACAATACAACCATCCTGATTTGAGTCGACTCCAGCAATTTCAATATCTTCAAATTATATCCCTCGTAGAATGAATAGGATCGATACTTTTTCAAGAACCTTTCAATCTTCTCACAATTTTCATCCGTTACCTCGATCAGCTTGCCTTCTGTGACCTCAAACATATTGAGATAATCCTCGTGTATCTTCCAATATAATTTACCAATCCTGTCCTGTACCCCTTTTGCTAAAAATCTAAATAAACATTAACATCAAATCAAATATGCGAATCATTCATCATACGTACTCTGTAATGTGCGAAGATACATCAATCTTTTGTTTCAAAAAGATACACACGACAGTAAATACAATAAAAAAAATATAATTTTTATCACACCCTTTATCTTTTGATCAATCTTGGTTCCAAATCAACTTTATTTATATCCTTTTGATCGAAAATGTAACTCACTTGTTCTCATCCTCGATGATGATAACATTAACATAATTATGATTCGGTTGAATATTTAAAACCCAACATGCACTCAAATACAATTGACTCGCTATCCCGAAAAATTTCAACATCTTGATCTTGTTCTCGTTCCTCTTTTGTGTTTCAAAAAATGAAGTATGCTCTAATGTCTTTATCTCATTCAGATTATATCCATACCCTCACAAGATCCCTTCATACTTGATTACGAAATCTCTAAATTTCTGAACATTTTCATTCGTCACCTTGATGGAACCATTCCCCATGATTTGAAATATATCTAAATAATCATTACAGATCCCTTGATACAACCAATCGATCAATTCATGGGTCTCTTTAATGC